AGAGGAGCCATGGAAGGGACTCTGACAACTAGAGTGTAACTGGGTACATAATATTATTAGACAGCTGGGGTGAGGGGAGAAAGGGAGAAGGACCTTGTAAAGAGCTTCTTAAGGATTTTATGCATCTGAGCCTCTGCAGTGGGCTTTATCTCTGTATCATAATTGTGAGCCTTGGGGGTTTTTTTCATCTCATTTCCTGCCTGGTTAAAACAGAGCTGGAATCTGAGTCTTTATTTCACATTCCACTATGTGTTATTTCCATTGTGTTATTACAGTGGATGTGATTTTATGGTTGGAATAAATGGAGACCTGAGACAAAGCTTACCCATTTCCAGCAGCCATTACCTCATTGGGCAGTCTCTGGTTTTTGTCTATGACGTATGCTGCTTTGTTCCTATAATCTTTTTCCTTTTCTCTTGTAGACATGCGTCGGGATGTCCAGGAAATTTTTCGCATGACCCCACATGAGAAGCAGGTCATGATGTTCAGTGCTACCTTGAGCAAAGAGATCCGTCCAGTCTGCCGCAAGTTCATGCAAGACGTAAATACCCTTCTACCTTCTCTCCCTCCACTCCCCGCCCACTGCCTCCTCCCCTTCCGCGCCCTCTTCCTCCAGACTCCTTTGTCCTTCAAGTGCCAAGAAGGGGGCACGTGCCCATCTGGGAGTGATGACTCCTTGAAGAGACACATAGAGGCAGAGACAGCTAGTGTTAGGGTCTGCGCGGGCGCCAGGGAAACTCCGGAAGACTTGGTCGGGTTAACTTGAGAGCGGGTAGTGTTCGACCTTTTTTTTCATCACAGCATTTTTGAACCTCTTCTTATTTTTGGGGGGAGGGCAGCATTTTCTGCCCTACCACCCACCCATCGTCTCCTACACACCCCTTTACAGCCACGCACCCTCAAGGTGGCATCGAGCACACAGTTGGAGCCTTCTGCTCCCCAAAACTCATAACCTCCCGGTGGCAGGAGAGCAAGAGAGGGACAGACAGATGGCAGGGCATGGCCAAAAGAAGAGCAAACAGCACAAATGAATCCGCTCCCTCCCCACCTCCAGGGGTGGGGGCCTTTGGCACCTCAGTCCCCGATCCCTTACTCCTTACCATCCATACCTCCTCGCACCCATCTGGAAGCTCGGTTGATGTGAGCCGGCAGCGGAGAAGCACCGTGGAGCGGCGGGGGAAATGCGGACGGCACCCAGCGGTGGATGGCGGCAGCGGAGGCCGCGGGGAAACCTGACCAGGAAGCTGAGGACCAAACCAGCCTCTTTTTCCGTTCCCGGTTTTTTTCCTGAATCCAAGGCGTGCCGTGCTCCCCATTTCCCCCAATATGTGTTGGGGGGAGGGGTGTCCCGAAAGGGGGGGTAGATTTTTTTTTTCTTTTTTAAGACAATTTTTTTTAATACTCAAAGGAGAGGGATGTGGGAAAGGTAAAGTGAGGAGCTCCACTTGGAAGTAACCAGGTGGGTGTTAGGGTTTGGGGCTAGACCGGGCCTGTCGTATAAGTAGTGCAGTGTGTTCTTTTCCCAGCTTGTACTGCTCCATCCCATGGGATGTTAGCTGACTTTAGCTATACTTGAGGCTAGAATTAGATTTGAAGGAGGTCATGGAACTTCTTTTTGGAAAGCTAGCCTGCTAGCTTTCTGGGATTGGGCTTTTGGTTTTCTCCCGTGACACACATCCTTTACTAAAATCTTGGACCCTGGGTGTTCATGTTAATTATGTCCCCAGGTTAGTGAAGAGCGCTAGGAAAATTGGGCTCTAGAGTGCAGTCGTGTCAATTTGTTTTTTTATTTTTCTATGCTACCTGCCTCCCCTTCAAGGGTTTTGTGAGTGTGCGTGCGTGCGTGTGTGTGCATTTTTTTAAAAAAAGACGAGTGTGTATCGCTCTGAATTTGCTTCTTAGCACCATTTATTGGTACCTTCAATGTAATACTGTAGTTGGTTTGACTCTTAGTTTAGAGACCAGTGTCATCTAAATTGTTCCCTTGTGGTCGGAGGACAAGTTGTTAACTCACTTTGAGTAATGCTTTTCTTTTTATGGCATTTTGATTATGTCCATTGTAGCATTCTAATCTTAACAGATATCCACCCTCCTAATGTGGATATGATTCTCTTAGTTGAGAGAATACTCAAATGGAGCAATTTCTCTCCTCCTCCTTGTATTATAACTAGCTTTGGTGGAGTTATTCTGACATTGAGTCACTGTCCCACCAATTCCCTGATATTTGGATCACATTCGCCCTTTGGGGATCATCTCCCATTGTTTTCTTTCCTCTACCACCGCCCTTTGAGTAATGGCATCTTGCCATTGTGTGGTCTCACTGATCCTTTACCTCCCTGCAAATTTCCCTTCCCATGACAGTTTGTAGTTGGGCATTCTTAAGACTTGATAGGAAGGAAATTAGATCTAATGTGGAAGAGACCACATTAAAATGGGGGTGTTTTTGGGGATGTGGTGGGGTTTTCAATCTTCTCTCTTCTCCCCATCCCCCCCATGGGGTGTATTGGAGATCAAGTTCCTCCACCCCCCCAGGTTTAACCCCCCCACTCTGCCCTCCTCCCGTTCCCCACCCCCTCCTCCCCCCTCCCCCCCAGCCAATGGAGATCTTCGTGGATGATGAGACGAAGCTGACGCTGCATGGGTTGCAGCAGTACTACGTGAAACTGAAGGACAACGAGAAGAACCGGAAGCTCTTTGACCTTCTCGATGTCCTTGAGTTCAATCAGGTCAGTTGTTCAAGGTCCAGTAGGGGGATGAGCACGTCTCCAACTGTAGCAGAAACCTGGTTAAGTACCCTTTAATTGAGGATATGACCCATGTGATGTGAGAATGGTGGAGAAATTGTCTTTTAATGAAATTCTTTTAAGTGAGAATGTCTTTTGGGGCTGAGCACGAACAAGGTGGGAACAGCTGCGTTTCTGTTCCATGGCTGTCACAGCGGTATTTAGTAATTAAAAATCTCAATGAAGAAAATCCTTGAGGGGATTTAATCTTCTAAAAGTTCCAAAGTAGCTTGGGTTTGTTGGGTTCTTAAATTTGTTTCTTGTGCTATTTACCAAGAAGAAGGGTTCCATCACTTGTTGTGTGGTTTATTTGCACCAAAAACTTTCTAAAATTAAGGTAAAATGCTTATGTTTGATGTTTTTGATGAGGAGGAAATATTGGTCATGGTCTTTTCAGACTTAGTTTTAATTTTTACCACTTTCTCATGAGGTAGCCTCATTCTTGTCTCTCAACACACCTGGTCGTTTTGGTTATTCTCTGTACCTTCTCTGCAGCATGTCTGCTCAGGAGAAATCAAAGCGGAGAGAGAAAGGCTAAGTTATATTTAGAACAGAAGAATATATGGGATGGACTAGGAGGAATTCCTTTAGAAGAGTGTAGTTACTGAAAATCCTCCTTGCATGTAATCTCTCTCATATTCCACACGGGCCCACATCCCCGTACTCTCCACACACAGGTGGTGATCTTTGTGAAATCTGTGCAGCGTTGCATTGCCCTGGCCCAGCTTTTAGTGGAGCAGAACTTCCCAGCCATTGCCATCCACCGAGGGATGCCCCAGGAGGAGAGGTGAGTCAGAGATGGAAAGATGTTTTGTGTCCTTGGGAAGGAAAAGAGACCATTGAGAGAAAGGACTCAACATTTTTCTAATTTCCTTTCTCACAAAGGCTTTCTCGGTATCAGCAGTTTAAAGATTTTCAACGACGAATTCTTGTGGCCACCAACCTTTTTGGCCGAGGCATGGACATTGAGCGGGTGAACATTGCCTTCAACTATGACATGCCTGAGGATTCTGACACCTACCTGCATCGGGTAAGCAGCACACCCACACGGGCATCCCAGTGTCTCCTCCCACCCCCTGATTTTCTGTCTTCATACCTTACATCTTCATCCCTTCTATTTTGGGTGTCTTCCTACTTTGGGGTCTTCCCAGTGCCACCCTCTGTCTCCTTCCAGGTGGCTCGAGCAGGCCGGTTTGGCACCAAGGGCTTGGCCATCACGTTTGTGTCAGATGAAAATGACGCCAAGATCCTCAATGACGTGCAGGATCGTTTTGAAGTCAATATTAGTGAGCTGCCTGATGAGATAGACATTTCCTCCTACAGTGAGTATTGGCCTCGTGAGACTGGCTCCTCAGTTCTTCAGTCTCCTTGTTCCTTAGTGTGTTTGTTTTAAATCCCATTATGTACATAAGGTCTCTGGTGCATAACCAGCAATTGACAAGCTCATGTGACCTCATCTTGATGCCCTTGTTGAGATGTGTAGTTGAGCTCTATGTGGGGTCTCTGTCTCATGACAAATTATGTCTCTTTTCCCACTCCCAGTCCTCTATACTTATAAACTACACAGACATCTGCATGTATTGGGCGGGGGGTGGTTTCTGTCAGCCTTGCCACTTCCATGTCTTAGAAATTCTAATTGTGCCATGTTTTCTCTTCAGTTGAACAGACGCGGTAGAGGACTCACCCATCGTTTTGGAATGTGACAGTCTGTCCCTCTTCAGGAGATGACAGCAGGCATGGGGGTGAAGGAGACACTACTGCCACCTACCCTGGCAACCCCCAACCCATACCCCACAACTTCCCCCTTTTGCATCACCACCACTCCCTAAACTCCTCTATTTCCTGAATTGTCTGAATTTTTTTTTTAACAAAACTAAAAAACACATGCGTCTGTGGTGTCTGTAAATGCTCCATCCCTTTATTGGATTTGGCGTGAAGTTAGGCCATGATTCAGTGTATATTTCTATAAGGGACTGTGTGCCCTACTGTGGGGCCCAGGTCAGTGGGGAGGGAATAAAGGTGGGGGGATGTGACTGAGAAGACACCTGCAGAGACCATGGCTCCTTGCTACTTCACAATTTCTGCCCTTTTTGGGAGGTGTCTTCTATTTTTCTTAGTGGCCTGGGAGGGGCTGGGATGTTTCTGACCCAAAAGCCCAGTGGGTGGTATGTAGTATTTCTCCAGTGTTGGAAGGTAAAATGGGAACTGGTGGAAAGCTTAGGCGTCTCCTAGGCTCTCTCGATGTCTCCGCATCTGTTCCTTCAGCTTCTGGATCTTGAGCACCAGGGCCTGTGCTTCCCAAGCCCCTTCTTGCCCTTCCAGAAGGGCCTGGTACAGCTCCAGCTGCTGCTCCAGCAACTCTTCAGCTTGGGCCAGCTCAGCTGTGGGGCGGGGCCAGGAACCCTGAGTAAGGGGGCAGAGGGGAGGGAGCTTAACCCCAGGAAGAGGGCTGAGGCTTGCTGGAAGTCAGGCCTCTGCCTCCCGCGTTTCAATCCCATTATATTGAGGTCATCTGTACTGTGCAGCCAAGGTAGATTTTGGTCTTGGGGTTAGGCCTCTGGGGGGTAGTTTGTTCAGGGGCTATAACTGAATTTGTACGAGGTAGGATATGGGGTCATGAGAGGAGAGGACTGGTAGTTCCTCCACCACCTCCTCCCCTCCACACCCCCTCCCCCCAACTAAGAAATGATTAACTGTTAGGTGAGGGGAAATTCCTGTTCAAGGACTTAATGGACTCTGCAAGGAGGGAGTGCTGTGGAGAGAGGGAGCCCTAAAGTCTGGGGTGGGGTAGGGGTGGGGAGGGTGCTGGGCATCTGGGAATTGGAACCAGGATACAAGCTTAGGGGTGGTGGCATATATTTGCAGGACTGTGACAAAATCAAAGGGATTCCTCCATGCTGGCCTCCCCCCTTGTCTGTCTCCACTCTTGGTGACACTTACCTTTGGGGGTGACGTCCTCTTCTCACTGCGTGTGGAGCTGGTCTGCTCTTCTGTGCTTGCCTTAGGGCTCTGGGAGCAGCACCTCTGGGGCCCCAGGGGCCAGGAGGGCAGAAGAAGGCGACGGCAGCAGCATGAGAGCCAGGGCAGAGGGAGGACCATGGCTAGTGTAGCAGGGAGCTGTGCGAGCCGCCCAACAGCTACCAGGAACTGGCTCCTTCCCTCCAGGCCTTGGCCTCGCTTCAGTGACTGGCCCTGCCCCTATCTTCACCTCCCTCCCAGTCTGGCCATAGAGAGTCTTCCTGAGGTGAAAACATTCCTGCTAGTTGAGGCAGAACTTGCTTTGGAACACTGGTGCCCAGCCTACTAAGACTTCTGTTTTTCCTAGCACTAGGTCTTGAAATCATTTCAGTTCTGCAAGGTGCAAGTTACATTGTTGGTGTGCAGGAAACTGGCTCAGAGGGTTTCATTCAGGATTCATTCAGCCAGTACCTATTGGGGCCCTCCCTGGGCCACATGTGCTCAAGGTCCACTGCTGGTTGGTAGAAAAGCCTGGAGGATTAATGCCCAGCCCTATCTGACTTGAAAGCTCATAGCTTGGCTTAAATATTGATTACCCCTTTCTTTCCTTTTTCTCCTTTTGCTGCCCAGAATGACATTTTTCCTTGTCTGTTGTGCATTACATGTTATAGGGATTTGCATTCTCTGATAGTTCTGGGCACTGTTGTGTCATTGTACCCTTGGCTCCCAACAAGAGCATGACACTGGTAACAGGTCTCAAGCTTTGTTGAACTCGTGAGCCCTCCCCTCAAATCTATGAGAACAAAAACTGTTCATACACCACCATGTACATGTGATGTGAGCATTTATACATGTTGGTTTTCCTGCAGTATGTTCTGAAATGTCTTGTGGCTGGAGGGCATAGCCACATACCTGTGGGCAGAGATGGCTCATAAGGGAGTGCGTGGTCCCAGTTTTGATCATCTGGGAAAAAGGTAGACTGTCAGGCAGAAGAAAGTATCTCGGAAGACAAGATGGCTGGAGAATGGACAGCTGCTAGCCAGTTCACTATCTTTATGACATCATGCTGAATTTGGAGGGAAAATGGCCTCTGCCATAGCATGGGGATCCAGGAACAGAGAGTTTGACTTTCCTGGAGGTCAGTGGCTCTCAAACTTGGGGTGGTGGTGGTGGTGGCTGAAGCAACTTTAGATGAGGCCAAAGACCCCACATTCCCCATTAGCTGACATGTTTCCACTTTTAAGTGGGAAAAGAACCAAGAACTTTGGTAGGATTTGAGGGGGAAAAGAAGTTTCCTCATATTTCTTAGTGATAGGGTTATGCATGATTCATATTTGACTTGCAGTGTATGCATGGCTTAAGGTCTTTTTAAAAAATTTTTTTAGCATTTACTTATTTTTGAGAGACAGAGTGTGAACAGGGGAAGGGCAGAGAGGAGACACAGAATCTGAAGCAGGCTCCAGGGTCTGGGCTGTCAGCACAGAGCCCAATGCAGGGCTGGAACTCACGAACTGTGAAATCATGACCTGAGCCGAAGTTGGCCGCCCAACCAACTGAGCCACCCAGGTGCCCCAAGTCTTTTTTTTTTTTTTTTTTTTTAATGTTTATTTTTGAGAGAGAGACCGAGAAGGGCAGAGAAATGGAGACAATCTGAAGCAGGCTCAAGGATCTCAGCTGTCTGCACAGAGCCCGATGCAGGGCTCGAACTCATAAACTGAGATCATGACCTGAGCTGAAGTCAGAAGCTTAACCGACTGAGCCACGCGGGTACCCCTTAAAGTCTTAATTATTAGAACAACTAGAACACAAGAGGCCAGAGGACGATGCGGGAGAAGAAGGGGAAAATAGCTGGGGAGAAGGAAGGAGGCAAACCATGAGAGACTCTTGAGTGCTGAGAACAAACTGAGGGCTTATGGGGGTGGGGGGGAGGGGAAGAAGGGTGATGGGCATGGAGGAGGGCACTTGTTGGGATGAGCACTGGGTGTTATATGTAAACCAACTTGACAATAAACTATTTAAGAAAAAAAGAAAAAAAAAAAAAACACACAAGAGGCCCAAACTACTGTTGTTATGGCTGTGGGAAACTATCCAGTATAAGGTTAAGCAAACTACAGGCAACTAACACTGAAGCTAAACTAACCACATTTATAAATTAAAAGCAAGATTAGTAGCCATTAAGAAAATACAATAAGTGAAACTTCTGTAAGACAATCTAAATGATGCACTAATAGCAAAATATCCTTTTGAAAATTAGGCATCTGAGTTTCTAATTTAGGTTATGAACTCCAAAATGGATTAACCTCCAATAATTTACAGTGGGTGGTCCTAAAGCCGAGTTAAAATAGTCTATGGAGGGGCGCCTGGGTGGCTCAGTTGGTTAAGTGTCTGATTTCAGTTCGGGTCATGATCTCTCAGTTTGTGAGTTTGAGCCCCACATCGGTCTCTGTGCTGACAGCTCGGAGCCTGGCGCCTGCTTCAGATTCTGTGTCTCCCTCTCTCTCTGCCTCTCCCCCTATCATGCTCTGTCTCTCTCTCAAACATTAAAAAAAAAAGTCTATGGATTTGGGTTTTATTCATCTGTGAGAATTAGTATAAAGGAAAGGCTGGCATTTGAGTCAGCTCAAATCTATTGAATGAGTTTAGGAATTCATAGTCATGGAAATGAAGGAATGAAGATAAATATATGTAAGCCAGACTACCTAATTTTATATTACTGTGTGTATTTGTTTTTGTTATTCTTGGGTATCTCATAATGTCTTAGTAGTCTTTTTCCCCTTTTATAAGAAAAGGCTCTATGTCCAATAGACAATCAAATGAAAGTTGGGCCTGGATTTTGCAGGAGGAGCCTGTCTTCAGCCAAAGACAAGCAGAGGATTATGGGAAGCATCATCCACGAGGTCAAAGGGCTACAGAGCTCCCTGAGGTCAGTGTGCTGATATTGCATGCTTACCCAGCAGATTGGCAGGACTGAGGTGACTGTACCCTTCAGCTCTTCTGGAGGTGGGTACTTAGCTGCATTCAGTGAACTTACAAAGTTCACTGAACCTGCTGGGCAATTTTTGTTCCTGTCATACGTGATCTTCAAGGTTATTGGAAACACTTGTTTAAAGTTCTTTCTGCCACACTTCTCCACTATAAGGTAGTAACTTTGCACTTAGTAGTAATTTTTTTCTTTCCATATTCTATTCTTTGGAAGTGAGTCACCAAGTCCAGTCCACAGTCAAGGGGAAGGCAATCAAGCTCCACCTTTTGGAAAGGGAATTCTCTTCATATGTTACTTGGAATTATTCTGTAAGGAAGATTTGTCCTTTCTCTCCCTATTTTTATTTTTTTAATTAAAATTTTTTTTAATGTTTATTTTTGAGAGAGAGACAGACAGACAGAAAGAACACGAGCAGGGGATGGACAGAGAGAGAGGAAGACACAGAATCTGAAGCAGGCTCCAGGCTCTGAGCTGTTAGCACAGAGCCCGATATGGGGCTTCAATCAATAAGTCATGAGATCATGACTTGAGCTGAAGTCAGACACCTAACTGACTGAGCCACTCAAGTGCCCTGAGTTGTATAAGTTCTTTATGTATTTTGGATACTAACCTTGATTGGATATGTCATTTGCAAATATCTTCTCCGTTTAAGTTTTGTTGATTTTTTCCCTTCATTGTGCAGAAGCTTTTTATTTTGATGAAGTCCTAATAGTTTATTTTTGCTCTTGTTTCCCTTGCTTTAGGAGACATATCTAGAAAAATGTTGTTATGGCCAGTGTAAGAGAAATTATTGCCTATGCTCTCTTCTGGGATTTTTATGGTTTCATGTTTCACATTTAAGTCTTTAATCCTTAATTAATAGAGACAGTGAGCAGGAGAGAGAGGCAGATGAGAGAGAGATAGAATCTTAAGGGGGCTCCCATGCTCCATGTGGAGCCCAATGTGTGGCTTGAGCCAAAATCAAGAGTCAGACGCTCAACCAACTGAACCACCCACGTGTCCTGGTCCTTAATCCATCTTGAGTTTATTTTTGTATATGGTATAAAAAAGTGATCCAGTTTCCCAATACCATTTGTTGAAGAGACTGTCTTTTCCTCATTGCATATTGTTACTTTCTTTGTCAAAGGTTAATTGACTATATAACCATGGGTTTCTTTCTGGGCTTTCAGTCCTATTCCATTGATCTATGTGTCTATTTTTGTGCTAGTACCATACTGTGGGTTTTTTTCATGCTGTTTTGATTACAACAACTTTATAGTAGAACTTGACATCTGAAATTGTGATATCGCCAACTGTATTTGTCTTTTTCAAGATTGCTTTGGCTTTTCAGGGTCTTCCTTGGTTGCGTACAAATTTTAAGATTGTTTATCCTAGCTCTGTGAAAAATACTGTTGGTATCTTGATAGGGATTGCATTAAATCTGTAGATTGCTTTGGGTAGAATGGACTTTTAAACAATATTTTTTCTTCCAATCCATGAGCAGGGAATGTCTTTTCAGTTTTTTGTGTCCTTTTTAATTTCTTCCTTCAATGTTTTATATTTTTCAGAATATAGGTCTTTTACCTCCTTAGTTAAGTTTATTCCTAGGTATTGTATTATTTTTGGTGCAAATATAACTGGAATTGTTTTCTCAATTTCTCCTTCTGCTGTTTCACTATTAGTGGATAGAAATGTGACAGATTTCCATGTCACCACTCTAATAGTGGCACTTGTCCCATTACTTTACAATGATTGTCAACTTTGCATTATTTTTTCCTCTACATTTCCAATCACTAACATACTGTGAAGGTTTCTTTTTCAAAGATGGCCATCTGTAATATCTTACCATCTATCTAGAAGTGGGGTCTAATTCCCCTCTTCTTGAATCAATGACTTTTGTTTTTGAGAGAGAGAGAGAGAGAATGCACATGAGCAGGGAAGGGTCAGGAAGACAGGGAGAGAGAAATTCTTAAGCAGACTCCATGCTCAGTGCAGAGCCCAATGCAGGGCTCAGTTTCACAACCCCAAGATCATGACCTGAGCTGAAATCAAGAGTCGGATGCTTAACTGACTGAACCATCCAGGTGCCCCATCAATGACTGGCTTTAATGACTAGAACACAAGAAGGTAACACCGCTTGACTTCTGGGTTTCTGACATAAGATGCCTTGTGATTTCTG